CGTCACAGAAGGTGTAAATGGACGACAGCGACAGGTGTACTGACAAGCCATTCTCCCTTCACCAAAACAACATCTCACCTCAGCTTCCTCCTTGCTCATGCCATCCTTGAAGGTCGATCACAGAAGGCAAAGAGGTGCATGGTTGGGCTACCGTTGCCATATACATATTTGTTCTTGGCACACCAAAACGAAACTTCACCTCGGCTTCCTCCTTGCTCATGCCCTCCTTGAAGGTCGCGTCGCAGAAGGCGAAGAGGTAAGACGAGCCAGAACCCCCGATGGCGAAGGGCGCCTTGAGCAGCGTGCCTCCCTGCGGCAGCGCGTACACCGATGCACCGTCGTACTGGTCCCACCCGCCCACTATCATGCCTGCTGATAGCATGTTCTGGTGGGTAGGGATGAGGGTGCAGGGGGGACGAGGGTGAAGGGGAATCAGGGAGCAGGAGTGATGAGGGGGGAAGAGGACGAAGCAGTGCGTACAGTGACGCCCCGTCGTACTGGTCCCACCCGCCCACTATCATGGCCGCTGATAGCATGTTCTGCGAAACACGCAAGGAGATACAGCAAGAACACGCAAGGAGATACAGCAAGAACAAGGGAGGATGAGGGACGGATGAGGATAGCATGTTCTGTTCCGACACAAAACCAAGGATCAGGGAGGACAAAACATGGGCATTGCAAGGCGCACACAACAAGGGATGAGGACGCGGGCAGCAGGGAAGATGAGCCACCAAGACACACACAGTAAGACATGGAAACGACCATGCCATGTCAGGATCACGCCTGCTGTCAACACGTCAGGATCATGCCTGCTGTCAACATGTCAGGATCACGCCTGCTGTCAACACGTCAGGATCATGCCTGCTGTCAACATGTCAGGATCACGCCTGCTGCCAACATGTCAGGATCACGCCTGCTGTCAACACGTCAGGATCATGCCTGCTGTCAACATGTCAGGATCACGCCTGCTGTCAACATGTCAGGATCATGCCTGCTGTCAACATGTCAGGATCATGCCTGCTGTCAACATGTCAGGATCATGCCTGCTGTCAACATGTCAGGATCATGCCTGCTGTCAACATGTCAGGATCACGCCTGCTGTCAACATGTTATGTTGCACAACGCGGAAATGGAATTGCGAGCCAGTCGAAAAAACGTGGGAAACGTGGGATATGCTTTAAAAGGGAAGAGGAAACGTGGGATGGAAGAGGGAGGGGGGGGGGGGGGGTGGCGGTGGGATGTCCAGGAAAATAGTGTTCGAAATAACACATGGTGGCTAATAGGTTGTGGACAAGAATGGAGTCACTTTGTTGTGGTAGCTGATTTGCTTGACCACATTAGCCACCGTCTTCACATCTGTAGGCTTGCCCAGCTCCATCCTGATGCCATGCCATGCCATGGCATGCCACGCCACACCACGGGATTGGAGACAGAAGGCTTGATGTGAGATGGTGTGATACTATGCGATGTTGTAATGGGATGTGATGTGATGTGATGTGATGTGATGTGATGTGACACGATGTGTGCATATTCAACCATAAGACATGCACAAGCAGCCGATTCACAACATGTGCATAAAGATATCGAAGAGTCGCTGATAGCATGCATAGACTAGATAGAACCGGAGAGCAACGTCCTGCAACCTTTTGATTGAATGTGAACTCATTGCTGCTACCCAAATCCTGAAAAAAAAAGCTTCAGTCCGAGATCACTCACTATGCTGACTGGCAAGGTAGTTGCGTGCAAAGGTGGACACCGCTACCTGCACTCCTTGCTGCATTCACTGCTGCTGCGAGAGGTAGTGTTGTGCATACGTGGACACTGTCTGGGTGTCTTTGTTGCTATCCCTCTCCGTGCTGCTCTCAGCACTCACATGAGTAAGCTCTGCACTCACTGGTGTTGTGAGAGGTAGTACTGTGCATACGTGGACACTGTCTGGGTGTCCGCAGCCTGCAGAGAAAAAGATGGTTGCAGCCAGATGTTAGGAAAGTGAGTATTGCTAACAAGGTTGACAGCCAGAGCAGATATTATTAAGTTGATAATCAGGCAAATAGGCTGACATTCAGGCAAACGGGTTGACATTCAGGCAAACAGGTTGACATTCAGGCGAACAGGCTGACATTCAGGCAAACAAGTTGACATTCAGGTAAACAGGTTGACATTCAGGCAAACAGTCTGAGATATAGGCAAAAAGGCCAACATTCAGGCAAACAGGCTGACATCCAGGCAAACAAACTGACATTCAGGCAAACAGGCTGACATTCAGGCAAACAGGTTGACATTCAGGCAAACAGGCTGACATTCAGGCAAACAGGCTGGCATTCAGGCAAACCGGTTGACATTCAGGCAAACAGGCTGACATTCAGGCAAACAGGCTGACATTCAGGCAAAGAGGTTGACATTCAGGCAATCAGGCAGACATTCAGGCAAACAGGCTGACGTTCAGGCAAAGAGGCTGGCATTCAGGCAAACAGGCTGGCACTTAGGCAAAGGGGCGACATTCAGGCAGACAGGCGGACGTTCAGGCAAACAGGCTGACGTTCAGGCAAACAGGTTGACATTCAGGCAAACAGGTTAACATTCAGGCATACAGGTTGACATTCATGCAAACAAGCTGACATTCAGGCAAACAGGCTGACATTCAAGCAAACAAGTTGACATTCAGGCAAACAGGCTGACATTCAGGCAAGCAGGCTGACATTCAGGCAAGCAGGCTGACATTCAGGCAAACAGGCTGACATTCCAGCAACTGACCTTCAGGCAAACCGGTTGACATTCAGGCAAACAGGCTGACATTCAGGCAAACAGGCTGACATTCAGGCAAACAGGCTGGCATTCAGGCAATCAGGCTGACATTCAGGCAATCAGGCTGGCGTTCAGGCAAACAGGCTGACATTCAGGCAGCAAACATCTAGGTTGACAATCAAACAAACATCCAGGTTGACAATCAAGCAAACATCCAGGTTGAGAATCAGGCAAACATCTAGGTTGAAAATCAGGCAAACATCCAGGTTGAGAATCAGGCAAACATCTAGGTTGAAAATCAGGCAAACATCCAGGTTGACAATTAGGCGGACATCTCTAATCACATTACCTTTCATTGTAAAAAAGCAAAAATCCCTTTAACAGCAGCAATCCAATCACTCACAGATCCTGATCGGCAGAGGTAGGCGAAGTCTGTGAGAGCAGTGATCTTCTCAGACGCTCTGTTGCTGATGTACGTTCCTGGCGATGGCGCAGGAGAAAGACACGGGAGATCATGGAAGAGGAGGGAGTGAGAGGGCCATCAGAAAGCACGGACAGCAGTGATCTTCTCACACGCTCTGTTGCTGATGTACGTTCCTGGCGACGCAGCAGGCGACGCCACGTGTGAAGGCACGGGAGAAGGGAAGGAAATCGCAGGAGAGCAGAAAATGAGAAGGCCAGAGAGGGACAGATGGAAGGAAACGTGACACGAGGAGAGAACGAAAGAACGAAAGGAAGGAACGGACGACGGACAAACCAACTAAGGAACGATCGACGAGCGACGGAACCGTCTCAACTTGAATCGAGAATTGACGTTGTTTTCTGAAATGATTCAATATTACCTGTGGTAACCCGAGTATCAGCTCCAAGCACGACCCCCCCATCGTACGCCACTGCCATGATGGTCGTCTGCAGGAGAAGCAGGGGAAGCACGCGATTCAAGCACAACAGATGATGCGACGCTGCTAGATTTGAGCCAAACAATTGTTGCGTCTAGACAATTGAACCAGGCGAAGGTGAAAGCAAGAAAATGAGACTGCGATAATCCCAAGGAAAGCGCAGTTGCGACAATCCCAAATGGTGAAAGCAAGGCCTAGAGGGAGACCTGAAACCATAAGAGGTTTTTGGAATCTTTACGGAAAGTCATGAATCTGGCTACTCTTGAGTCATTTAGCATGTAATAACCACAAGGATGATATGATTCTCTTGAATCCACGAAGAGAATCTTGCTGAGGCGTTTGGGAGAACAAATCCGTTCATCCTGGCACATGTAGCGTAGAGAAATTACGCGCATGATGCCTGTGAATCCAGAAAAACTAGCAACAGTTCCAAAGCTGGTATCGTCTGCTGACACGAAGTGACTTTTGAGTCGAATATTGTAAGCGTAATGTCCGCGTTCAATTGCTTTCCGGAAAAGCCAAGCGCAGACGGCGCCGCACAGAGGAGACGCTGAGCAACTGAAACCATATCCGAAGCGCCTCACACGTACGCTAGCTGCTGATGGGATCTGAATCAGGATCTATTGTTAACGTAAGTCACAGATAATCTGTCCCGGAACACCCACCCCGGTTGATACGGCTCCATACGAGCTCGCGCAATCCACCTCCATGACGCCGTGACACTTCGTCGACCAACCTGGATCGAATCGAGCAGAACAGAGACAACTAAGTCTACCGTCTGGAACTACTGTGCGTAGCTCGAATCGCGGTAACGAGCAACGAGGGAGCGATTAGGAACCAGCTATTGTGGCGGTGATGCGATCTGCGAAGTGCGTGAGAATGTAGTCAGCGATGTAGAAGTGGAGGACAAATGCTTCACATTCCGGTGGAAAGCGGTCAAGCTCCGAAACCGTTTTCGACCGCGAAGGTGACCTACTGAACCACGGTAAACACAAGCAGAACAGAGCTGAGGAATTAAAGCTCAAGTATACATTTGTCAGTGAGGTTCAGGGTTTTACATTGTGCCTCACAGTTTTGGGGCAACTTTTCAAGTTCCTAGGGTGGGATGTGCCGTTCGTTTTAGTGTTTCCGGCTTGGTGCTTCTGATATAGTTTTATATTTTTCCATTCCAGAACAGTTGAGCAAACATTCAGCTTGCAAACGTCTTCAGCGTTTGTGACCAATTTTGTTCAGCTTTTGTGGACCACGAAATTAATGCAAATTCAAATACAGTACACACATTCAGGCTGGCAGTGTGGGCAATCTCAGTGCTAACTAAATGGAACGCTGGGACTCCTTGAGGGTGCCTGAAATGCTTCAGTGTTTGATGGAGCGCTTGTACTCCTTGAAGGTGCCGGAGAAGGGCTTGGCCACTCCCTTGTCCACCGCCCACAGCTGGTCCACACTGCCACTGATCAGATGCTCATCGTGACTCACCTGCGGGAGAAAAGGGAGAAGGATTGGGGATGAAGGGGGGGTGTGGGGGGGAAGGGAGTGCTGCATTCAGACGAGCTCTGCTGCCCCACACTGTCACCAATCAGATGCTCGATGCTCCTCATGTCTCGCACGCAAACAAAGGGGGTGCTGGGGGGAGCGGCGGGAGGAGTGTTAAGAAGCAGATGGGGGAAAGAGATTAATGGGTGAGGGGATGAGAGATCAGGCAGGGCTGCAGGACAGTAAAACGATCAGACAGTGAACCTGGGGGCGGTAAGAAGCAGGCACAACAGCCAGCCACCGGAAGCATGCGAGCGGACTCATGTGAGAGGTCCCAGCCAGCCACATGTCGTGACAGCGCGGCAGCCACCGGACGCATGCCATGACATGACATGCGTGTGCCAGGCCACCCTGCACCACGTCCTGCTTCACCACCATTGCATGCTCATCTCCCAACTACCTCACACCCATACGTGCCCAACAAAGCCACCCATGCCCAACAGGCCCCGCGCCCACCCATGCCAGATACGCCTTGCACGCACCCATGCCCGACAAGGCTCACCATGAGAACACCGCCTTGGAAGAGAGCAAGGCCCTGAATCAACGCCTCCACTGCATCGATGTCCTGATGGTGGGGACAGGAAGGGGGGGAATGAGTCGAGAGGTAGAGAGGGAAGAAAGGGGATGAGTACAGTTACGGAAGCAGAGCAGAGAGCAAGGCCCTGAATCAACGCCTCCACTGCATCAATGTCCTGATGGGGAGGAGAGGAGGGAGGAAGGTAGAAGGACGAGAGGAGCGAAATACGGGAAAAGTAAAAAAAGCAAGAGGGCAAAGGGAGAAGAGTGCAGGAGGAGAAACGAACAAGATGAGAAAAGAAAATGAGGAAATGAGTGCGCTGATGGCAACAGAGTTGGAGGCCCTGAATCAACGCCTCCAGAGCATCGGGCAACCGGAAAGCAAAGCGCAGGAGAGTCAACAAACAAGGAGGGCACAAAGGGCTGTCAGAAAACATGCAGGAAGGCATGCTGGACGAGGTGCGTGTGAGGGTAAGGTGAGGTTACTGCGGTGAGACTGGTGCCAGATGGTTGGAGGGCGTACCAGATGGTTGGAGGGCTCGTCGAGCAGCAGAATGTGTGGCTTGTGGAACGTGATCTTAGCGAATGACACTCTGCTCTTCTGCCCTCCTGATATGTGCACGGACAGCGAGGGTAGGCAGCAGGAAGACACGCAAACAACAATAGCGATGATCTAAACAGACTATGGTTGCTACTTACCTTTGGTGCTGATAAAAAATTCACTTTTGAACTGACTCAAAAGTCGCCAAATACTTAGAGATACAAGCACAGCAACAGGGAAGGTGGGAGGAGCGCAGACCTGAGAGCGTGTACATGGGCTGCAGCGCCAGATTGCCTCCCAGGCCAAAGGAGCCCAGATGCGAATGTTGACACGCCTTGGGAATCAAGGAAGGAGGGAGCATGAGCATAGCGCACCTGAGAGTGTGTACATGGGCTGCAGCGCCAGGTTGCCTCCCAGGCCAAAGGAGCCCAGATGCGCCCTCAGCTTCTGCTCCGGTACTCCCTGAGCCAGATTTGTGGATGCACGGTGGGAGGAGAGGAAATAGGGTCAGAGGGCCATGTATACAGATGCGTGAATGGGAGGATCATTGTGTTGCGGGTCTGCACCGATGCAAGAATGTGTCTGGCCTCTGGCAAAGAATCGGGCTGACGGAAAGTGCTGGGACAAAGAGGGCTGAAGTGAAGTGGAGAGCTGGGAAGGAGTGGGTGAAAGGAAGGCACCCAGATTTAGAGGTTAAAAGGAAAGTACCGAGAGGGAATGGGCAAAAGTAAGGTACTAGGAAGGAGTGGGGGAAATGGACGTACCGGGAAGGAGTGCGCCATGTAGAGCAGAGGCGACTTGGAAAGTTCCAGCCCGTCCACGTGGTGCTGCGCGAACACTGCCATGCGCACCTGATGGGTGGTGCATGGATAGATGGGGGTGCATGGGGAGGGGGTTGCATGGGGAGAGAGGTGCAGGAGGGGTGGTGGGTTATATCTGTGCATGAGAGAGACCTCCAGCCCGCCCACGTGGTGCCGGGCGAACACTGCCATGCGCACCTGATGTGCAAGGGGAGCGCATTGAGGGGCAGGGGGTGGTTTGGCGGTTGGAAACAAATACAGGCCATGTGACATGGTTTACAAACAGGAAAGCTCTAGGCCGCCCACATGTTGCAGGGCGATCACTGCCATCGGCACCTGGTGCTCGGGGAAGAGGGTGAGAGAGAGGGTGTTGTATGGATGGATGGTAGGGGTCGCATGGACGTTACACATGTCATGCAGCTTGCATGCATGCATGGAAGTGAGGTCCAGGCCGTCCACATGGAGCTTGCTCGAAGAACACTGCCATGCGCACCCGATGCAGGGTGAGGAGGAGGGATCATACATACATGCCATGCCATGTAATGCACGGCACCAGATGCACACATACGAGGATGAACCCTTGGGAGGAACACGTAGGGGGTGAGCAAGAACCCATACCTTGGGGGAGCGGAAGGCAGTGCCTGAGGTGGGCTTGAGCTCGCCTGAGATGAGCTTCAGCAGCGTGGTCTTGCCTATGCCGTTGGGGCCCACGACTGCATGGAGACGGGTGGGAGGGGAGATGGGGGAGGGGTACGATGGGGTGGGGGGGCCTGATGCTTCAGCAGCGTCGTCTTGCCTATGCCGTATTGGGCCGACGACTGCATGGCCGGGAGAAGGGTCAAGAGGGGGAGGACGGAGGAGGAGGATGGAGGAGAAAATGGCAGTCGAGGAGAAGAAGGGAGTTGCACTAAACAGGTGAGAGCAGTGTGGTGTTGACTATGCTGTTGGCATAAGGGAGGGAGGTGAATGGGGTGAGCGTGAGAACAAGGTTGAGTCGCGTGGTCCTGCCTATGCTGTTGGGTAGTGACCTCATGAGCGAGGGGGGCGGACGGGGAAGGGGGGGAAGGGGAGGGGGGAGGACGGGCGGAGGGGGGAGGAGGGGAGGAGGGGACGTCAAGTTTGAGGTCAGGTTTGAGGTCAGGTTTGAGGTCAGGTTTGAGGCCAGGTTTGAGGTCAGGTTTGAGGTCAGGTTTGACGTCAGGTTTGAGGTCAGGTTTGAGGTCAGGTTTGAGGTCAGGTTTGAGGTCAGGTTTGACGTCAGGTTTGACATCAGGTTTGACGTCAGGTTTGACGTCAGGTTTGACGTGAGGTTTGACGTGAGGTTTGAGGTCAGGTTTGAGGTCAGGTTTTAGGTCAGGTTTGACATCAGGTTTGACGTCAGGTTTGACGTCAGGTTTGAGGTCAGGTTTGAGGTCAGGTTTTAGGTCAGGTTTGTGGTCAGGTTTGAGGCCAAGTTTGACGTCAGGTTTGACGTGAGGTTTGACGTCAGGTTTGAGGTCAGGTTTGAGGTCAGGTTTGAGGTCAGGTTTGAGGGCAGGTTTGAGGTCAGGTTTGAGGTCAGGTTTGACATCAGGTTTGAGGTCAGGTTTGACGTCAGGTTTGACGTGAGGTTTGACGTCAGGTTTGAGGTCAGGTTTGACGTCAGGTTTGAGGTCAGGTTTGAGGTCAGGTTTGAGGTCAGGTTTGACGTCAGGTTTGACGTCAGGTTTGACGTCAGGTTTGACGTCAGGTTTGAGGTCAGGTTTGAGGTCAGGTTTGAGGTCAGGTTTGAGGCCAGGTTTGAGGTCAGGTTTGAGGTCAGGTTTGAGGTCAGGTTTGAGGTCAGGTTTGAGGTCAGGTTTGACGTCATGTTTGAGGTCAGGTTTGACGTCAGGTTTGACGTCAGGTTTGAGGTCAGGTTTGAGGTCAGGTTTGACGTCAGGTTTGACGTCAGGTTTGAGGTCAGGTTTGACGTCAGGTTTGACGTCAGGTTTGACGTCAGGTTTGACGTCAGGTTTGAGGTCAGGTTTGAGGTCAGGTTTGACGTCAGGTTTGACGTCATGTTTGAGATCAGGTTTGACGTCAGATTTGACGTCAGGTTTGAGGTCAGGTTTGAGGTCAGGTTTGACGTCAGGTTTGACGTCAGGTTTGAAGTCAGGTTTGACGTCAGGTTTGAGGTCAGGTTTGAGGTCAGGTTTGACGTCAGGTTTGAGGTCAGGTTTGAGGTCAGGTTTGACGTCAGGTTTGACCACAGGTTTGAGGTCAGGTTTGACGTCAGGTTTGAGGTCAGGTTCGACGTCAGGCTTGACGTCAGGTTCGAGGTCAGGCTTGACGTCAGGTTTGAGGGCAGATTTGAGGTCAGGTTTGACGTCAGGTTTGACGTCAGGTTTGAGGTCAGGTTTGACGTCAGGTTTGAGGTCAGGTTTGACGTCAGGTTTGAGGTCAGGTTTGACGTCAGGTTTGAGGTCAGGTTTGACGTCAGGTTTGAGGTCAGGTTTGACGTCAGGTTTGAGGTCAGGTTTGACGTCAGGTTTGAGGCCAGGTTTGAGGTCAGGCTTGAGGCCAGGTTTGACGTCAGGCTTGAGGCCAGGTTTGACGTCAGGTTTGAGGTCAGGTTTGACGTCAGGTTTGAGGTCAGGTTTGACGTCAGGTTTGACGTCAGAGGCACATACTGGCGAGCAAGAGGCACATACTGGCGAGTCTGCTGTCTAGGTCAATGCCGAAGTTGAGATTCTTGAAGAGCAACGGCCCGCCGGGGTAGCCGAAGTTGACGTCGCTGCAGGCAGGCAGGGAGGCGATGGGTGTTGCATAAATGCCATGCCATGCCATACGAAGGGAGGGGGTAAGACGTGAGTGCAGAGGAGAAGGAAGGCACATGGCAGCATGGCACAAAGAAGAGGCCCGTATCGAGGGAGCCAAAGAAAATGTTGCTGCAGGCAGGCAGGCAGGCAGGCAGGCAGGCAGGCAGGCAGGGAGAGATGTGGGACGAACACAAGGGGGCAAAGGGGTCGTTCACTTCACGAGAGGATCGTTCAAGGGGCAAGTGGGTTCCGGAATTGGTTTCTACCAAGAACCTGCGGGGTCTGAGGGTGCACTTGCGAGCATGCGAGTTGCGAGAATGCGAGGTGCCTCAGAAGTTGTTTGTACCACATCAATGTGCGATTGCGACCATGCGGGACACGAGAAGCTCAACGGCACGTGCTGTGAGTCTGTGACTCACCGCCCAAGGGCTGCCGTTAGTTCTCGGCTCATGTTATATCAACAACAGGGTGCCCCCAGTGCCCCAGTTCCCCACATGCACCCAGCACCCAGGTCACTCACGTGAAGCTGATGATGGGCGCCTGCGGCCGGTCTTCAGGTGTGGGGAACTCAAATCGGTACCTGCGGAGAATAGGGGGTTGGGATGGGTTGGGTTGTATTGGGTTGGGTTGGGGTGGGTGGGGTGGGGTGGGGTGGGGTGGGGTGGGGCGGCGAGGAGTGGTTGGGGTGGGGTGGGGCGGGGACGAATGGGTGGGATGGGGTGTGGAGAAGTGGGGTGTCAAAACAAAGTTGGGGGCGGGCCTTCTAGCAACAGCAGGTATAGAGCGCTTAGCTCCAGCCAGCAGGTTAAAACAATGGCAGCAGCAACAAGCAGTGCATGAGATGAGGTGCGTGCAATGTGTAAAATAGCTCTATTTGCAGAAAGAGTAGGGAGGTGGGATCGGGTGGAATGGTGGTGGTGGCGCGGGTAACAGCGGCACCGCAAGTGTAGAGCAGCAGACGCGGGAGCTCACCACGTTCAATCTGAGCAACAGCGTCGCATTCTCTGCGCGCGCCTGCCTCAGCTTACGCTGAACGTGGCGTGGCTCCCACGTCTGCTGCTCTACACTTGCCGTGCCACCGTCACCACCAGCTCCGCTCCACCACCACGTCCGCGCACGGCGTGGGGTGGGTGGGGTGTGAGAAGAATACTGGGAGGGTTTCCTAGCAACAGCAGGTTCACGGCGCTTGGCTCCAGCAGGGCTTCACAATGGCGGCAACAACCAGCCCCAAAGCACCCGCTCACTCTGCCCCCACTCACTGCCCGCCCGCCACTCACTCTCCACCCTCCACGTTCCCCGCCCACTCTGCCCCGCTCATTGCCCACTCCCCATTCCCAGCCCTAAACATCCCCCACCCACTCTGCCCCCCACCCCCACTCCCTCTCCACCCTCCACGTCCCCCACCCCCTCTGCCCCACTCACTGCCCACCCCTCACTCACTCCCAAACCTTCACGCCCCCACTCACTCGGGATCTGCCACCACAGAATCCACAGTGCCGATTCTCTCCAGCGCCTGCAATGCAGAGAGAGGGGGAATGGCGCAGTGTTGGGCAGGAAAGGGAAGGAGGGGCAAAGCCAGGAGAACTTCAAAGGAGGAATAAGGAAGTTGAAGGGAGCGTGCAGAGGGTGGGAGGAACGTAGTCAGGGAGGGGGTAAGGGCGAAGAAGGGGGAGGTTGCATGTGGAAAATTCACGGGAAAAGCGCAAGGGGGCGGGCTGTGGGGGAGAAGACACGATCGCAGTGGAATCGAGAAGAATTGGGATCAGAGTAAAATGCGTGGGTTGAAAGACGAGGGAGGTTGCACGGGAGAAGTTACAGGAGAAGGGCATGGGAAAGGGGGGCGGGTGGGGGGTGGAGAAGGCACGATGGCAGTGGAATCCAGGAAAGTTGAATAAGAGTGAGATGCGTGGGTGGTGAGGATGAGAGGGGCAGAGAGGACATGGGCAGGGCAAAAGGAGGCACCTTGATTCGCGACTGCACGAGGGACGCACGCTTTGCATTGTAGCGGAACTTGTCAATGAAGGCCTGTGGTGGGTGCACACACACACAGGGAGGGAGCACACAGAGGGAGGGAGCACACAGAGGGAGGAAGCACACAGAGGGAGGGAGCACACAGAGGGAGGGAGGCATGGGGAAGGCCACACATAGAGGGAGGGAGGCACGGAGAGGTACTCACACAGAGGGAGCACAGAGAGGGAGGCACAGGGTGGGACATGGGATTAGTGGCAGGGAGAGAGGGGTGAAAGGCACAGCGGGGAACACACAATCGGTGGCAGACGCACATCAAAAGAGCATGGAATATGTTTAAATAGGAACATATTCAACTGGGTTGCAGGAGAGGATGCAGGAAAAGGAAGCATGCGAAGACGGCAATGAATAGCACCACATGCCATGCCACAAGGTACGACCCTGCATGGCATGGTATGGCACGCGGTTGCACAGCACACAAGGAGATGTGCGTTTGCACCTGGATGTGCGTTTGCGCCTGGATGTGCGTTTGCACCTGGATGGATGTGCGTTTGCACCTGGATGTGCGTTTGCACCTGGATGTGCGTTTGCACCTGGATGTGCGTTTGCACCTGGATGTGCGTTTGCACCTGGATGTGCGTTTGCACCTGGATGTGCGTTTGCACCTGGATGTGAGCGCGCTTGGCGTCGTTGGCCTCGGCGGCCTTGTTCTGATTGCGGATGCGCTCGTTGCGCGTCTTCTCAAACGTGTCGTAGTTGCCCTGTGGGTGTTGGAGCCACGGGAAGGAATGCAGCATATGGGGGCGACTCAAAAAGACAGGAACGAAATGCATGCGGGAGACAATTGAGACTTCTCAAACGTGCCGTGATTGCCCTGTTGGTGTTGGTGCTGGTGCCAGGCAGCAAAAGGTGACACAACGGAAGGGGGGAGGAAGGGAAGGCAAGGGGCAAAGTACGGGGGAAACAAGTGAGGCTTCTCAAACGTGTCTAGGGAAGTGTTTATGGTAGGCAGCAGAGCGAGAGGCATGCATTGGTTGGCAGAAGGAAAGTCAGCAGGCATGCAACGGGGGGGAGGCAAGCAATGCAGGAAACGCAGCACATACTCACCGTGTGTGAGTGAGTCCGTGGCAGTACCGACCTTGTAGGTGGTGAGCTTCTGGTTGTGCAGGTGAACGATATCGGTGACAACAGTGGTGAGGAACTCCTTAGTATGGAGCACACAGTGCTATTCATAACACCGCGACCCAACACTGACCCTGTGAGTGAGTGCCCTTACCCACCTTGTAGGTGGTGAGCTTCTGGTTGTGCAGGTGAACAATGTCCGTGACAACAGTGTTGAGGAACTCGCGCGCATGGGACACCACCACCAGCGTCTTGGGCCACGTCAGCAGATGGTCCTCCAACCAGAGCACTGCGTGCAAGTCGAGATGGTTCTGGGGGGATGGGAGAAAAGAAACGGGGGTGACAAAGGAGGGACGGCCAAGGAGAGAGGAAGAGAGAGTGACAGGCATGTCAGTGAGAGGCTTAGGCACGAAAGAAGATGGTCCTCTAGTCACAGCAGCGCTTGCAAGTCAAGATGGTTCTGGGGGCATAGGGAGAAAGGACGGGGTATAACAAGGAGGGAAGACCAAGAGAAGTCCACCACCTCGCTGCATCGGTCCCAACGCGTTGGGACAACCATTTTGCACCCAGAATGAACCCAGAAAGAACCAGCCCACCATGACTCGACAACACCTCCCTCCCCCACTGCACCCAACTGCTTCAACCACCGTGGGTCGTCCAGCAGCAGCAGGTCAGGCTGGACGAAGAGGGCAGCTTGGTTCATCAGTTGCCATGCACGCATGATGACTCCACAAAACCACCCCTCGCTGCACCCAAGTCCTCCTCCACTCACCGTGGGTTCATCCAGCAGCAGCAGGTCGGGTTGGATGAAGAGAGCGCGGGCGAGCGACACTCGCATGCGCCACCCTCCTGAAAAGGTCCGCGTGGCTCGGTTCTGCATGTCCTTGCTGAAGCTCAGACCCTGCCAAGGCAAGGAAGAGAGTGGGGGAGGAGGTTGTGGGCATGTGAGTGAGGACTCCGGTGGTTAAACGCAGGGCATTCTGCAAAACGAGGGAAATTTGCACCCTCTCCATGGCTCGGCTCTGCATCTCCTTGCTGAAGCTCAGACCCTGCCAGTGCATGAAGGGGCGGCGGGAAAGGACGAGCGCATGTGGAGATCTCAATGCTCAGTGCTGAGTCCCGAGCTGCTTCTGCATCAGTGCTCAGTGCTGAGTCTCGAGCTGCTTCTGCATCAGTGCTCAGTGCTGAGTCTCGAGCTGCTTCTGCATCAGTGCTCAGTGCTGAGTCTCGAGCTGCTTCTGCATCGGTGCTCAGTGCTGAGTCTCGAGCTGCTTCTGCATCAGTGCTCAGTGCTGAGTCTCGAGCTGCTTCTGCATCAGTGCTCAGTGCTGAGTCTCGAGCTGCTTCTGCATCAGTGCTCAGTGCTGAGTCTCGAGCTGCTTCTGCATCGGTGCTCAGTGCTGAGTCTCGAGCTGCTTCTGCATCAGTGCTCAGTGCTGAGTCTCGAGCTGCTTCTGCATCAGTGCTCAGTGCTGAGTCTCGAGCTGCTTCTGCATCAGTGCTCAGTGCTGAGTCTCGAGCTGCTTCTGCATCAGTGCTCAGTGCTGAGTCTCGAGCTGCTTCTGCATCAGTGCTCAGTGCTGAGTCTCGAGCTGCTTCTGCATCGGTGCTCAGAAAGAAGCAAAGAATTGCACTCAATGGGGTCTCCCTCCTGCGACCCCATCCGGGCACTCACAGCAAGGATCGGAAGCAGCCCTGATACATATCCTCCAACCTTACACCCTTATCAACCGCCTTGCTAACCGCTTCCACACCACACTCAATAACTCTCCTCTGCCCATACTGTCACTCACAGCAAGGATGGAAGCAGCTCGTGACTCAGCAGAGTACGCATCAATCTCTTCCAACCGCTTGTAAACCTCCGCCAACCGTTTCGCCGCCGCCTCATCCTCCCCTGCACCCGCCTCCGCCCCTCCCCCATCCCGCTTCTTCCCCTCCCCCTCCCCGGCCGCCTCCCCATCCTCCCCGCCAGTTTTCCTCGCTAGAAGCTGCTTCTCTTCCTCTAGAAGTGCGGTGCGTTCAAGGTCAGCACTGAGCACGCACTGAAGGACGGAGGTATCGTCCCCCACCACTTCCTGCTCCACATGCAGCACCTGGCACGAGCGCGGAATGCCGTCGATCGCATGCATCGCCATGTGCTTTAACAGGGTGGTCTTTCCTGTCCCGTTGCGCCCAATCAGCCCTGCACGAACGGACAGGGAGACACAGGTCAGGGGCAACAAAAAAAAAGTTGAAGAGGGCCAATGGACCGTCTCCTCCAAGTGGGATGGGAGCAGTGCGGGGATGTGTCGTCCCCCACCACTTCCTGCTCCACGTGCAGCACCTGGCACGAGCATGGGATGCCGTCGATCGCATGCATCGCCATGTGCTTCAGCAGGGTCGTCTTGCCCGTGCCATTGCGCCCGATCAGCCCTGCATGGATGGGTAGAGCAAGAGCAGAAAGGAGTCAAGACTCGGTAATGAGTGCGTGTTTGACTGACGTGCCTCAACCAGCCTCCCAACTCACCACCATTACCACCTGCTGGCTCCACATGCAGCATGTTGTCGTCACGTCCCACTTTTTCCATTGTGACTTCTTTCTCCCCTCTCCCTCTCTCACCCTCTCACCCTCTCACCCTCTCTCCCTCTCTCACCCTCTCAACCTCTCTCCCTCACCCCCTCTGTCGCTCTCCCCTTCTTCCCCTTTACGCACTCCACCACTCCAAAACCCATCCGCACCGTATCGTCGCCCACGCAAGGGTAATAGACGCGTCGCTGATGAGGTCTTTCCCCGCCACAGTGATGGTGAAGTTGCTGAGATGGATGTCCCTCCGCCCACCTGTGCTTCCCCCTCTCTCCCTCTACCCCTCTCAACCTCTTCAACTCTACCCCAACCGCACTCCACCGTTCCAAACCTCACCGTATCGTCGCCCAAAAGCCAGAGTAATGGAGGTATCGCTGATAAGATCTTTCCCCGCCACGGTGACGGTGAAGTTGCTGAGATGGATGTCCCTCGCCCCGCCCTCCGTGCCATCGCCCCCGTGCGACACCGTCACCAGTGGCATGGACGACAGAATGGCCTCGCTCTCCTTCACGTGTGCTTCGTACGCGTCCTGGGGTGAGAGCACGGAGTGGAGGGAGAGGGGAAAAGGGAAGGCGTGGATAGAGAGAGCATATATTGCCACCGGTGGCAAGGACGCTAACGTAGCTCCGCTCTCCTGTACATGTGTTTCGTACGAGTCCTGGGGTGAGCGGAAGTGGGTGGGGGAGGGGGAAAGGAACGGGAGAGAGGGTAGGAGAAGTGAGAACGGGAAAGCGGCAGCATGAATGTCAGTAAATCGCACATGCACCTCGCCTAGCAAGCATGCAACCTGCAAAGGCGATGTGCCTGCTGCAAAAAAAAGAATGAGCATATTACCAATCCGCGCGTGAGCAATTTCCCTTCTCCCAGCCCCAACCCTCCCCCACCACATTTTCCTCCACCGCCCTTCCTCCCCGTACCTGGAAACCCTGAAACCCACCCACCCTTTCCCCCAACCTGGAAACCCTGCGATCCGACGTACCATGCGCTGGCGCTCCTCCTTGCGCTTGTTCCGCTCGAGCTTGCGCAGATCGCGCTCCGTCACGAAATACATGGACTCTTCCTCCCCCTCCGCCGCCACCGCCTGAATCACCCCCGTCTTCCCCTCCCCCAGCATCGCCTGCTCCGCCATGCCCTCCCCCATGCGCATCGGCGCCCCCAGGCTCCGCACGTTCTCCGCCGAGGCTGCGGCATGCGCGTCGCCGAACCTGGCGGCTAGGGTTTGGAAGAAGGCGCGCGCGGAGGAAGCGTCCGGGAAGCAGCCGACGTTGAGGAGGAGCGGACCGACGGCGTCGTACGCGAGGTCGCCGCGCGGACCGAAGTCAAACGTCTCATCCTGGCGGGCGGGAAAGGGGGGGGACCAGGGGGGCGAGGGGGAGAGAGGGGGAAAAGAGTGGCGAGTAGATTCGGGACGTGATCACGTTTGAATTCTTTCGGAGCCGACGGCGTCGTACGCGAGTTTGCCCCGCGGGCCAAAATGAAACGTCGTGACCGGGGAACAGAGTAGATTCCGGACGTGGTTGAAAAGTATCGAGTCATTTCAAAACACGAAGTCAAACGTCCCGCCCTGGCGGGACGGGAGGAAGGGGGGTAGCGTACACTCGGGGCGTGGAGAAAGAACGGAATCGATCGCTCTTGTGGTTCGGAATCAGTTTCGCGGACCGAAGGCAGATCTTGTCTTCGTGAGAAGACGAACGATACGATATCAGAGGCCGGAAAACACTAGGGAAAGAGGTCAGGAAACATAACAAATACGGTCGCCAAGCCCAGCGAAATCGATAGGTCCGGTAAACTTGTCGGCTGCAGTAAATCCGTCAGGTTCAGTGAAGTCAAACGGTCCAGTGTCAAGTCATGAGAATCAGTGACGACGTCAGAATCGATAACGTTGACAAATTCAGTGAATTCGACCAGCGTCATTACGTTGACACCTCACGCTACGCAATCAACTGATTAACAGACTAAGGACGGCTTATGACAACGGACAGCTCTTTCAAGCTGATACTAAACCTCGGCTTTAAGGTCCGGAAAATTACGAATGTAAGCCTCTCATCGCTCACCTTTAGGACGTTAACGACATAGTCTATGATAATAGGGTCCACTTCGTTAGCAGTGGGACCAAGTCCCTGACGGATCGCCGTTGCAATTTCGGCCATGGCTGACTTCAAGTCCGCAAGGTGTGACTGGAAGGGATGATTCTCTTAGGAGAAAGGAAATATCGAGGCATATGCTCGAGAACACCGATGTACTTGATATTGCATGTTCCGCGTCGTCGATTTCTCCTTTGTCAGATTTCGATCTATGAACACATCCCCGTAGTTTCATAATGCCACCAAAGGTACAATCATCCATGTACTTTACCGAGCATTTTTTTCAAATAAAAACTAGATTTTATAAAAAAAAATGAATCATATTATCAGAATTTGCAGTTAGGACATTACTATATTTTCTCGATTTTAGTGGTACGAATTACTATCTTTCATTACCTCTGTAATTCGTGTAACACTCCTGGAATGTCTGTAAAATCAGCCAGTCAGATTGCTCTAACGGGGCTCAAAATAACCGCCAAGGGCGACGCCAGGTTGTACAGCTTTTTGTACGCCCTCTCTGGTAAACTTCGTTTCAGCACGGTGAAGAGCGGTAATTGTCAAGAACCGCTTTTCACCGTGTTAGACCGTCCTGAACCACGATACAGGAACTGTAAGCGCGTGTGAAGTGTATAACCTGACGTCGCCCTAACTCCTCGCAACCCCAGCAACCTGCCAATTTGCTCGCTCATGGTCCACTCCCCCTTTCTCACCACTTACTTCATCAAGCTGTCTCAGCTTCGTATCGCTCGCTTCTCTGCCCACTTGGCAAGTCAAGGCCGTGCTGCTAGGGCAAGCAGCGTCAAGCAGTCTGCACTTCCTCGTCACACGCGCGAGGTTGCAGCCGCCTCGGCTGGTCACTCCGTACATGAACATGACGCAATGCAAGGTCAAGGCCAGGCGGCTGCACACTACCGTTCTATCATCCGCCTCCTCCGCGCACTTGCGCGTCACGCCGGCATCGTTGACCTCACGAGCTATTCTTGCGTCGGAGCTTCGAAGAGCTCCAACCGTCCGTACGAGAAGTAGCTGGAACGATGTTGCGTTATTTCATAAGCGGGAATCTCGAGGTACTCGAAGTGACTCGCCCGAGGCCAGAAAGAGCTACAAGGTCGATTATCAGTAGCTGTTGACAGATGGCATCCCGCCAAATGGAGACTCGTTCCTTTTTGAGAATTCTCACAAATGAAGATCAGGCGCGTCATGGCGTACGGGGCCGTACGCGCTACAGTCCGATACGTTTCTCAATGTGGAACGGCTTCATGCTGATCTTGTTCCTGTCTTTGTTCTCGACGCGTGGCAATGCAAGCAGCACGCCCGGTTTTCCGGTCCTGAGCGGTGATTCTACCTTTTCCAATGATCATTTTTTGCGAGAAAGAATCAAGATTGGGTTTCCGACCCATGATCCTACAGCGCCCCTTGATCAGTTCTCGCGAGAAACTACTAAGGATGTCGCGGGCAAGAGGACAAGTGGTGGGTCGCTCGTGGTCAGACCACCCGACGTTCCCACGCCTGAAGGACGCAACGGCGGGAGTCGGCGAAAGCTACTGTCCGCCAGCGACTGGTTACCCGGAGCATCTCGGCGGAAACGAGGCGCTCATTTCGCATCAGCGGGTGATTTGCAAAGTGCGATCGACAGCAAGCGCCTCGAAGTTGTGGATCTCAACCCTAATCCGCCTCCGAGCGTTCTTTCGCGAAAGGGCCGGCGAAATCTGAGAGCTGTAACCAGCAGGCGAAAATATGCGACGTGCGCCAAGGCCCTCCGCTGCCCGGAATTTCGGATGTGCGAAGACGCGGGTTTCGAGGATGTTTCCGTCTGCCATAACCCGGATTACAAGGACCTAGCCCCGCGAATCGCGGCGAACGGCACAACGCCTAAGCCCCGGGGAAACGACGAATATGGGGGAGTGGAAGAGGAGGAAGAAGACGAAGAGGAGGAGGAAGGGGGAGAAGACGGAGAAGGGGAGGAAGAGGAGGAAGGGGGAGGGGGGCGACGAGGGGACGGGGGGAAAGGGGGTGGTGCGCCCAGCATGGTGTGGTCTGGGCGGGTGTTTGCGCTGCACGACGTGTATGTGAACAACAAGGGGCAGGTGTTTAACTCCACGCACGTCTTTAACCCCAACGGCTGCTACGCTGAAGATAAGGTGCGCGTGGTGTGGGGGTGGAGGGAGGAGGGGGAGAGGGACGAAAGAGAGGGCGGTTGAGAGAAGAGGGAGGTGGGGTTGGGGGGCTGGAACGGGGAGGAGCGGGGCTGTTCGAAGGGGGAAAGTGGGAAGGCGGGGGAGGAGCTGGGAAGGAGAGGGTACCTCAGTAGCATTCCCTCTCTCCCCCCTTCCCCAGTTTCACTACAAGCCCGGTACGCGCGTCTCCTCGCACGACTCGCCAGTCAACCTGCTGGTCATCGAGAGCACCTCCGACGCCTCCAACTGCTCTTCCCTTCTCTCCCACCCCCCCCCCCCCCCCCCCCCCCCTCTCCCACACTCTCTGCTACAGTTTCACTACGAGGCATGCACGCGCGTCTCCTCGCACGACTTGCTGGTCAACCTGCTGGTCATTGGAGGCACGCATCTCCCATCTCGACAGATATTCTTGCCTTACGCCCCCTTCGTTTCCCCCCCTCTCTCCCCGTCCCCAGTTTCACTACGAGCCGGGCACGCGCGTGTCCTCGCACGACTCGCTGGTCAACCTGCTGGTCGTGGGGGCCACGCCCGGCGCCCGTCTGCCCTTCCACGAGATTCTCGAGCTCGTGCCGCTCTTCCTGCCGCTCTCCCGCGTGCTCAAGAAGCACGGCAAGCCCGCCCTCGTCATGCGCGGCAAGAAGGTGTGTTGCGCTCTTCTAGCAAGAACAAAAGGTGTGTTGTGTTCTTGTCGCTCTCGCACATTGCAACACTGCATCTTGTGTGGCTCTGGCATGTGACGTGACATGTGCCGTGGCATCTGACGTGGCATGTGACGTGGCATGTGATGTGGCATGTGTGTGATGTTGTATCTCTCAGCTGCCTCGAGTGGTGGGCATCACCATGGGTCGCATGCTCTCCTTTGGCGATGCGTCTCGCCTCCTCTTCGTGCGAACGCTAATCCAGGTCCGTCCAAACACTCACCCTGGTGTGTCCGTCCCCACACTACGCTTCCAAGCACACGCCCACACGCCCTACTCACCCATCCAAACATCTCTTCCCTCATCCCGCGCCGCTCCTCCCCTCCTCCGTCTCCCCCACTTGCCTCCTCACTTCCCAACACTTTCAACATCCCCGTCGCATTTTGAATGGAATCCTCTCCCTTTTTCCACGTACCACACAATCCCCCTCTCCCAGCATACCCCGTCCTGTCACCCTTCCTCCCCGTACTGCCAGTTCCCCAGCCCCCCCCCTGATCCAAGCTCTGCTCCTCTCACTTCCTGCAACCCCCCGACCTGCCCTCTCTTTCCCCCCCTTCCCCCCCCTCCCAATAGCAGCCCACTTTCCAGCACTGCCAGCAACCCAGCCCCAGCATCTAAATGAGACATGTTTTCTTCCTTCCTCCGCTGGCCTCCCTCCCCATTGCAGCCAACCTTCCAGCACTGCCAGCAACCCAGCCCCTCTCTGTGGTCCAAACTGCGCACCTCCCACTTCCTGCAACCCTGGGGTCTGCCCCTCCTCAACCCTGACTGGTCCGAACGCCTTCCCCCCACCGCCCCCAAGGCCCTCTCTCCCCCTGCCGCCCTCCCCCCCTGGGAGACAAGTGGGGTGAAAGAGGTGATAGTTCTCGAGCCACCAGCAACAGTCCAGGTGAAGGGATTTGCAGAGATTGTAGCAGGGCTGAAGGGGAAGTTTGGCGCCGAGCATGTGAGGCTGGTGGGAAGGTTCCAAAGAGATGACGCCAAAGAGTTGTTTCCCCGGGCGGCGCTGCTCGTCAGCATCACGAGCCCGTTTCTCGTCAACCTCGCGTTCCTGCCGCCCCGCGCCGCCCTGCTGGAGCTCCGCCCGCCGCCCGCTGAGGTGGACGCGGTGATCGCTGACTCAGTCGCCAGGCTGGCAGCGGCTTGCCAGATCCATCACCGCGTAATTCGAGGAAGCTTCATGGAAGGAGCACCAGCTGATGGTGTGGGGATATGGAAAGGGGCTGAGGAGGGTACGGGGAAGGGTGCGGTGGAGTGGAGGAGCGGGGCTGTAGAGGCAGCAGCGATGTTTTTGGCTCGAGTGGTCGGGAAAGCATTAACAGCCGATGAGAAAGTAGTGGAGGAGGCAGCTCTGACGGCTGCCGACCAGCGAATGAGGGCTGCACAGCTGGCGCAGGCCTCCACCAGTAAGAAGCCGCTGATTCCCGGTACGCAGATCCAATCTCCACAGTCCGCCGCCCAGTTTCGGCGCTGGCTGCGGTGCGTAAGTCAGCGGGGGCGGTGGGCGTACAACGCCACGCCGCGCATCCTCCCTTGGGAGTACCTCGGTACCATGAACCTGTGTGACCACCGGCATCGGGACACCACTGGAGGACTCGTGACAAAAAAAGCAGATAAGTATGCGGTGGAGGACGGCGCGCCGGGCGGCTGGAGCGTGCGCGAGTCGCTCAAATACGAGTGGAGAACGCCGCCCGGGAAGTGCCCGATCGGGCCGCTGAGGCAGCTCGACGGGGATATGTTTTGCCGGAAAGTGGAGGGGAGGAAAGGTGGGCTGAATGTGCTGTTTCTGGGGGATTCCCTGGCGCATCAGATGGTTGACAGCTTCCTCAACGGCCTTCTGAGACACATTCCCAAGCCTGCGGTGTGGGCTGTGAACGAAACAATTCCCAAGGAATGCTCTGATTGGCTGGTGGATCCCCCCAGGCATGCCTACTGCCGAGTGTACACTTTCAATGAGAGTTTTTGTCCCGGGCTTACGGTGCAATTCGTGAGGAATGACCACCTGTGGTTTACTTCGCCTGGAGAAGCTAAGTTTGACCACATTCCATGGCATTTGTATTCAGGGTTGAAGGATGCTGATGTGGTGGTGGTGAATCGAGGCGCGCATTTCATTGGAGGGAAGGATTTTGAGAGGAGTGTTCCGGCCGCTTTAGAATTTCTTCGAAAGAAGCTGCCCGACGCGCTGATTATCTGGAGGAATACCCCGCCTGGGCATGCCAACTGCACGTCCTACACCGGGCCGATCAAGAAGCGGCAGAATCCGGAATTTCTGCCGTTCCATTGGGACTTGTTCACTTATCAGAACGAAATGGTTCGGACAAAGATTCATGATGTGGGAGGCGTGTACATGGATGTGGATACTGCTACAGCATTGAGACCGGATTCGCACAAGGGCTTGGTGGAAGAAAGGGGGATTCTAGACTGTCTCCATTATTGCACGCCTGGTCCGACAGATATGTGGGTGGAGCTCCTAGGCGATATAATATTGCGTGGAGTGTATGGGGATGGGCTTGTTCCTGTAAGCGTGATGTAAGAAAGAGATGTTTCTGTTGTTTAAAACGGATGCGCAGTAACCAGCACTGCTGAAGTCGTGATGCCGCGGTAGCTTCGGGTGAGCTGCGCTGCAGACGCACTGTGCGTCGCTGCAAGTGGCTGGTCGGTGCGCTTCAGTCCACGCTTGTCCACCACTTTCATGAGCCCAAAGTCGAAGCACACTGTACGGGCAGCTTCTACTGACCGACCTGCTCCAACAACAGCTAGACGCGGCTTTTCTACTTCCCCAGAACGGCCATTTCGGGCAGCTCCCAGCCATCACAACCAACCAAGCCCCCCCCCTTCAACACACCCGTGCAGATTGATTCGACGATCAAGATTCTCACGATAAGGGGCTGAAATCTTATCCCAGCCGTTCCTCTTCAGTCGCTCGCAAGTAGACAGGCAGGGAGGCAGCCTCTTTCTGGCGGGTTGTGGCCAGGGTCGGTGGTTCTGGTTGCTCAAGGTGGAGCTGAGGGAATGTGTGCGCGGGTACAGTAGTTGGTTCGGTGCAGATATTCACATCGACGGTTGACCGATGATCCAGCACAGCTTAGAAGTCAGAATTTCGAATCGTACGGTGGATAGTCCCTGATGGTGTCTCTCCCACTGTTCTCGCTAACTACCTCCTCCAGAACTACCTGCGAAATGCAAACCCTGCGTTTCACCCATCATCCCGCTCGCACGCCCTTTTCGCTCTATTTCTCCACTGCATTTTCGCTTGTGCTGTTCCTCTGGCCTTCTGTCTTTGTCTGTCACACATGTCTGTCGGTTGGTTGGTTCGAGCCGTCGGCAGCGTCGGATGCATATCAAGTTGCCTAGTGATAGTTGAACTTTCTGATCTTTCCGAGTTGAAATACTAGCAAATCGTCGATTATCGTCCGAGAATTCCGTCGATTGTCGAAATAGTAGCAACTGAGTCCAAGTCGAGCTCGCAGGTCGACGTTCTACTAGAACGAATTAAGGAGCCTTCGTTGCGGAATTTATTTGCTATCTTTCGCGAATAGCTTCGATTTTATCGCGAACGATTCGTCGTTCCTGACACATTACCGGAGACCTACGTCACATTTTTTAAGGTCGGAAAGTTCCTGCGGACTTGCGCAAACGTTTTTGGGACAGATTCGCGTTCTTCATTTTTCGAAATAGCTTATGATTAGCTTCTATGGAGGACGAGGTGAAGCATAGTAGCGCATTCCACGGCGGATCCGACATGGATTTCGACATAATCTCTTCGAGAAACCCTGACGGGGACTTATGGGGGATTGGCGACTTTCAGATGGGTAGCGTCGGTGACGGAATGGTTTCATCCATCGAAGGAGCGTACGATGCCCTTATAAGAGACTTCACAATGCCTAGTGGTAGTTGTAACGCTCCCAATGTCGGCGCCGTTGCAACTGCTGGGACAGCATTTGGTTCTTTTACCGGCGCCGTCCCGGTCAGTAATAATTACGTTAGTAGTGGTAACGTCATGCCGTCAAGTGCCAGCGATGCATGGAGGAATGAGCAGGCTGCGCTGGCAAATGAAGAGGCGAGGCATAATGCCATCACCATGGACTCTGGGTCACTGGGAGGAACACAGAGGTTGCACCTTCAGCAGCAGCAGCAGCATCAGCAACAACAGCAACAGCTAGGGGAGAAGAATCAGCAGGGGGTGCAGTGGGGAGGGTATCGCCCTGAAATGAGTCGTGCGCCTGACCCTGAACACATCTCCTCTCGCCTTCATCATCCCTCAAACCCCCCACATCATGTAGAGCTTCGGGAACCGCATCAGACTCATCAGCAGCAGCAGCAGCATCACAGTCATGAGCACGAGTTGGTGGAGGAGCAGGGTGTGGGGGGGGAGGGTCTAATGCCAGCGGCTGTGGGCAACAAGCGGCAGAGGGAGGGGGAGCAACAGCAGACGCCATGTGTGATTGGAAGGCCACAGCACGCGGTGCAGGATGAAAGAGGGGTTTTTTTGGTACAGCCGACAAGGGGATCGGCCTTACGAGGAGATTTTATGAGCCGAAGCTTCAGCGAAGGTAGACCCGGGCAACAGCACCAGCAGCAGCACCACCACCCCCACCACCATCACCAGCAGCACCAGCACCACCATCAACCGCAGCAGCAGCAGCAGCAGCAGCAGCAGCACGACCCCTCGCTACATCACCGGCGGCAGCAGTCCTTTCCGCTGCCGTCCCGTGGCAGCGCAGAGACAGAGAGCGCCACGTCATCATGGACGTCATCAGGTGCCGTCAGCGAAGGGCGGCGGGTGGGGCAGCGGAAGGGGCGATCCACGGGAGGCATGGGCATGGGCCGTCTGGGGGACGGCATGTCACATCAGGGCATGTCACACAGGAGCATGTCACATGAAGGCATGACACATGGGGGCAGGTCACAGGGCATGTCACATCAAGGCATGTTACATCAGGGCATGTCACACGGGAGCATGTCACATGAAAGCATGACACATGGGGGCATGTCACATCAGGGCATGTCACATCAAGGCATGTCACATCAAGGCATGTCACATCAGGACATGTCACATCAGGGCATGTCACATCAGGGCATGTCACATCAAGGCATGTCACATCAGGGCATGTCACATCAAGGCATGTCACATCAGGACATGTCACATCAGGGCATGTCACATCAGGGCATGTCACATCAGGGCATGTCACATCAGGGCATGTCACATCCAACCGTAGATCAGCATCAGCATCAGCAACAACAGCAACATCAGGCGCACCAGCAAAGTCAAATGCACCAGCAGCAGCAGCAGCAGCAGCAGCAGCAGCAGCAGGAGCACCAACAGCAACAACCGCACCAGCTGCAGCAGATTCGAATGCAGCAGCAGCAGCAGCAGCAGCAGCAGCAGCAGCAGCAGCAGCAGCAGCAGCAGCAGCAGCAGCAGCAGCAGCAGCAGCAGCAGAAGCAACAGCAGCACCCTCGCCCTTTCTTATCCCCCCCTTCCCCTTCCATCGCCCACTCTCACTCTCACTCCTCCCCTGCCGCCCTGCCACTCCGTCTCCCCCGCAACCCCTCCCCATCACCCCTCATAACCCATCCTCCCCCCACCACCTCCCCTCTCCCTCACCCTCCCAGTCACCATCACTCCCTCGCTGCTAACACCGTCAATATAGTCACAGGCAAATCAGACCTTCCCCCTGCCCCTTCCGCTGCTCCTTCCCCCTTCCCTTCCGCCACTCCCATGACTGCTCCTTCCGCTGCCCACCTTCCCCCTTCGGATATCCCCCCTGCCGCTCCCCCCATCCCCTCCGCTCCACGAACTTCCCCTTCCGCTTCCCCCATCTCCCCCTCCGCGCTCCTAGGCGCGCTCTCCTCCCTCCAGTCAAAGATATCCGCGTTACAAGTGCTGGTTCCGCTAGTGGCACAATCCGGCCCGTCAGAGGCGCTGCAGCAGCAACAGGAGGTGGCAGCAGTGGGAGTAGCGACGGTGATACAGCAGGTGGCAGCGGCAGCAGTGGGGTTGCTACCGCCGCACCTGCAGGAAAAGCTGGTTGTTCCGGACATTGCTGGCGCGGTTTATGGCAGGGCAGGTGCTTCAGACGCGCCTGGGAATGCGCAGCAGCAGCAGCAGCAGCAGCAGCAGCAGCAGCAGCAGCAGCAGCAGCAGCAGCAGCAGCAGCAGCAGCAGCAGCAGCAGCAGCAGCAGCAGCAGCAGCAGCAGCAGCAACAGCAGCAGCAGCAGCAGCAGCAGCAACACCAGCAACAGCAACAGTATCAGCAGCAGCAGCAGCCGCAGCAGCAACAAGGAGAAGAGCAGCAGGAGTATCAGTATCAGCATCGAAATCCGTATCAGCAGCAGCAGCAGCAGCAGCAGCAGCAGCAGCAGCAGCAGCAGCAGCAGCAGCAGCAGCAGCAGCAGCAGCAGCAGCAGCAGCAGCAGCAGCAGCAGCAGCAACAGCAGGAGGCGGGCCTTACAGACAACACCAACCAGCAAGAGGAGCAGCAGCAGCAGCAGCAGCAAGAAGATCTGGTACCTCAGATTGAGTTGTTGCGAAGGTTCTTAGAAGCTCGCAACCAGCAGCTGCAAGCACCCCAGGCGAACGAAATAGAGGGTGGGACGAACGTGGCAGGCCCAGGAGACTCGAGAGAGGTGGAGACGGCAGGCTCGGGTGCTCTGCCTGTTGTTGAGTCGACTCCAAGCATGCAGAGGCCAAGTCTCAGGGGGGTGTGCGGTTTGGAAAGGGAAGGCCAGGTGAACTGCAGTACGTTGCACGACCAAGGACTGCGGTGGGGTGCGGTGATGGCAGGTGTGGACGGGGCTTTGGAGGAAAGAAGAAGGGAGGGGGGAGGGGGGCATGGGGGTGGGGGTGAGATGATGGCATGGGGTGGTGGTGACGTCATGCATGGTGCCGTGAAGGAGGAAGTGCAGGCCATGGATGACGTCAGCATGGGTGGTGGTGACGACATCAATGGGACGCCCATGCCTTTGCGAGGAACCTATTATGGGGCACCTGATGTGGCACCTGACGTTACACCTGATGACGCACCTGATGGTGCTGCATATGATGGTGGCGCTGGTGGTGGTGCCATGGCATGTCAAGCAGTTGTTGTTCCCACGGCTTCACATGGTAACTGCGTGGTACCAAGTGGTAACCGCGTGGTACCAAGTGGTAACACCAGAGCATCGCATGATAACGCCATGGTATTGTATGAGAACGCCATGGCATCTCAGAGTACTGGCATGCCGCCCAGTGTCAGCATGGGTGGCGCAAGCAGCAGTCAGGGCGGCAGCAGTAGTGTGGGCGGCAGCGTTCTGGGCGGCAGTGGAATGTGCGACAGCGTTTGGGGCGGCGGCAGTGTTTTGGGCGGCAGCGGCGGCATGGGTGTGAGGAGAGGCAGGATACGGGGGAGTAGAGGAGGGATTGTGGGAGGGGGGAGGAAGGGGGGCGGCAGAGGAGGGAGAGGAGGGAGAGGAGGGGCAAGAGGGGGAAGAATTTTACCTGAGGCAAGTAGAGAGGAGGAAGAGAGTGAGGGGCAAGTGGTAAGAAGATCAAAACTTGGAATTTCTGTGAAGGCTGAGAGTCAACTTGGTGGTGGGAGTGGGAAGGATGAAGAAGAGGAGGACGATGATGATGAGGAAGAGGGGGGGAGGAGCAGTGAAGGGGTGACACGTGGCGAGTTTGAATTGGTGGAGCTGCAGGTCGACGAACTTCTAGCAGAGCACACTCTGTTCTGTGAGGTGCGCTCTTGTTTCATCAATAGGTTTTGTTGGAGTTTGTTTCAATGAGGTTTGCTCGAATCTGTTCTCATGAGGTTTGTTTAGTTGTCTTGAACGCACTTACCTAGTGAGTTGATGGGAATAACGCCTCTGTTGCCCAAGCATGCTGTTGCACCCCATCCCCCCCATCCCTCACCTCCCACCTCAAACCTCCCACCTCCCATCTCCCATCTCCCATCTCTCATCTCTCATCTCTCATTTCGCGCCACCCCCACCAGGTGTGTGGGAAGGGCTTTAAGCGCGACGCCAACCTCCGCATGCACATGCGGGGCCATGGCGACGCCTACAAGGGTGCCACCTCCCTCTCTCGCCCTGCGCTCTCCGCCGCCCGCTCCGCCACTCACCCCGCCGCCCGGCCGCAGCGCTACAGCTGCCCAGAGCCCGGATGCAAGCGCAACCAGCAGCACCCGGATTTCCAGCCGCTGAAAACGATTCTGTGTGTGAAGAATCACTACAGGAGGACGCACTGTGCGAAGCAGTACACGTGCAGTCGGTGCGGCGTGAAGCAGTTTGCTGTTCTGGCTGATCTGCGCACGCATGAGAAGCACTGTGGCCGGTCCTCCTGGAAATGCTCCTGCGGGTCGTCCTTCAGGTGGGTTCGGGTGGGTCCAGGCGGGCTCTCAGGTGGGTTTCGGTGGGTTCACCTCTCTCAATTCACAGGCCGCCATGCCGTTGCTGCCAACCCATCAGACTTTGAGTCAACTCAAACCCCCAAACCTTCCCCTTCTTCCCTGTCTCCCCCCTTCCTCCACCTCTCCCCCCTTATCCACAGCCACAAGGACAAGCTACTGGGTCACCTCTCTCACTTCACAGGCCACCACGCATTTGGTGCCACTCTTTGACCTCTTAAGTCACCTCAAACCCTCTACCTGTCAACCCCCCTTCCCCTCCCCCCTCCTCTCCCCCTCTTTTTCACAGCCGCAAGGACAAGCTACTGGGTCACCTCTCTCACTGCACGGGCCATCATGCTGTTGCGGCCGGCCCAGTAAACTCAAAGTCCCTTACCCCACCCATCCTCCCTCGGCCTCTCCCCATCCCCCCCTATCCACAGCCGCAAGGACAAGCTACTGGGTCACCTCTTTCACTGCACGGGCCATCATGCTGTTGCGGCCGGCCCAGTAAACTCTTAGAGTAAACTCAAAGTCCCTCACCCCACCCATCCTCCCTCGGCCTCTCCCCATCCCCCCCTATCCACAGCCGCAAGGACAAGCTACTGGGGCACCTCTCTCACTTCACGGGTCACCACGCCGTTGCTGCCGGCCCCTCTGACCTCCCACTGCCCGCCCTCCCTTCCCCCGCCGCCTCCACGCCTGCTGCTGCTGTCGACGCTGCCATCGCCGCTGCTTCTGCCGCTGTTTCTGGTGCTGCTGCTGGTGATACTGCTGGCGGCAGTGGTGGTGGTGATGGGAGCAGTAGTGCTGCCTTTGCTGGTTACCATGAGGGGAACAGTGGGGTTGCCATGGGATTGGCTGGAGGTGGGGGGAGGGTAAGTGTTGGCGCCAGCAGGAGCAGCAGTGTGGTAGAAGCAACTAACATGGCTGCCGGCGGTTCTCCTGCTGCTCCCTCTACAGTCACTGCTCCCTCTGCAATCACATCCGACAGTCACTGCCCATGATAGCTGGTTTTGCCCCTCTAACATGCTCCTCTTCATTCTCCAATGTAACCTGCTCAGGTACACTCTGTAGTAAACGGACGCATCGCAGGGTGTAGTGAGGGGAAAATGGACTGGTATTCTGAGGCGTAGGCCTAAGGTTATCGGCATGCGTGCAATAAATGTGTTCAAACGGAATCACAACCAATGTAGTTGTATGGGCATATTTATCTTGGTAATAATAGCATCATGTTTGCGAACCACGAGGCATTGGAATACTCGTCATTATACATGCCGTATGCATATTGGGAGGTGCTGCAGAAGGCCTGATCAATTATTATTGCAGTATTTGTTGAAGTATTTATTAGTAAATACGCCATATATAATAAGACGAATTCTAGGAATTTCGGACCACCTGTGAAGGTGTACTGCAGCCTGAAATGTAGATGGAAGGTGGGTGCACCTTCTCCAGAATGACGTTCAGGTGGATTCCACATGTAGGATACCGGTAAGTCAGGTGAGGATGCAGTCACCACTCATTCGTCCATTTGGTCAAATACTCGAACAGAACCACGTCATTCGACCAATCCGGACAAGGACCACCACCTTGCCACGTTGGCGAAAGGTTACCAGCATGACTAACGACGGATTTATCCATCATTTTTTACTTCGGTTACTTTCGTCGAACTCGCTGACCGACTCTCACAGTCCAGACCATGACCCTGGTCTAGTGTTTGTCAGGTACGTTCCCTTCAGAGGGACCCAAGAACACCTGAGATCACCTGTAACAGCAGCGACGCGTCTCATTCTTTCCTCCCATTTTGTCGTTTCTCAGTCCACGACTTCTCTACAACTCTCCCTCTGCGAAACATGCTGTTCGCTGGCGTCGTTTGACCAACTAGCCATAGGCGCGCCGAGCAGGGAAAGGTAGCAAATTCAGGCCGCCCTGTGAATGCGAAGCCCTGCGACAAAGGAACGTCGCAGGTTCACACCAACCATCTCCTTCCTTCCCCATGACCTCACTTCACGTCTCTTGAGCAACAACAGACAGCTAACCTCCCATTCCGCAGTAGTTCTCTTCACGTACTCAGAGCATTGCAGTTTCTCCAGTTTCTGATATTCACTTTGCACAGACCGATCTAGGGTTTGCATCAGTTTCCATTCCAATTCCTTCAATTCTCCAGTTTAGCTCCCAGCCATGGCTCGCTACGCCGTCGTCGCCTTCGCTCTCCTCGCCCTCTTCGCCGTGTGCCACGCGCGGCCCGCACCACTCGATGACGATATCACCGATAACACCGTTGTCCCCAACCTCAAGGGACTCTCCCGGGAGAAGATTCAGGAGCTTGCGTTGACAGATCTGGCCGCATGGGACGAGGAGGACAACGGCGTGAGTGCCGCTGAGGCTGATAAGATCGTTGTCGATGAGGATAACACCGTCGCTGCCACTGACGACGCCGCTGACGACTCCGACAATACCGTGGCTGCGTCTAGCGAGGATGTTGCCGACTCCGACAACTCCGTCGTCGCGTCGTCCGCGGAGGCTGCTGATGAAGACAACACCGTGGCTGTTGCCGAGCCTGCTGACTCGGACAACACCGTGGCTGTTGTGGCTACCGAGGCTGAGGATGACGTTGTTGCTGTGATGCCTGAGGACAACGTTGCTACCGCTTCCGCCGCCAAGTCGACCGACATGGGTATTGCCATGGTTGTGTAAAAATGGTCTCTGCATGTTTTATTCGTTTCGTTTATTTGTACGAAATGTTTTACACCTGTACTGTATTAAAACAAATAGACGTAATACTAAGGATCCTTCGTTCCTAATGTTTCTGAATGTGCTAAAGCACCTGGTTGGTGCTCATTGCTTATTGCCCTTTCGCGCTAGTTAGTGTGCACCTCACTAGGGATGTACACGATGGCTGGTGATTGAGCATGTACCACCTTCCAACCCACTACGACTACGCTGAAATGTGCCGTCGGAATTTTCACACATTCCTTCCGGCGAATAATATGAGAGCTGAAGCATGGAGCATGGACGGTGTAAACGATGTATTTATTAGCAGCAACTTATTTCTAAACAGTACGGTCATACACAGCTCTTGTTTCTACCAAATAGAGAACAGCTACAGCATAATGCAGTTCATCAAGAGCAAGTCACTAAGAGACATACTTGCAGGAAAAACAGTGCTGGCACAGCATCTTGCACAACCAGTGGATTCACGGCAATCTTCAACCAATCACATCCACCTCGAAGCAATCACGCCAATCCAAAAGCGACGATCCCGCCATAGGCGATAGCCGTCTATCATGCGAGGTGAATCAGCAGCTGAAGAGCCTGCCAATGGGGTGACACACGATTGTGATGGGTGGATATATAAATGAGACACAGCCGGGCGTGGGGGCGGAGGGTGGTGCAGAGAGGGGAGGCAAGGAGAGGGGGGGAGGGTGAGGAGGTGTGGTGGGGGTTGGGGAAGCAAGAGGAGAGGGTTTTCAGGATCCATGATTGCATTGCAATGGTGGGCGTGCTGTGTGTTCACGATGTTTTAACAAGTGTGGGATGATGGTGCAAGACACAGAAGTTGGACAAAACCTTCCTCCTCTCTCATCTCTCCTTCCCCCCACTTGATCTTCCCTTTCCTCCTCAGCATAGCTCTCCCCCTTCTCTCCTTCCCGCCCCCCCTCACTTCTAGTTCTGTCACTCTCCTTTCCTTCCCTTTCTCCTTCTGTACCTCTCACCTTCCCTCTTACCTATCCCCTCTACCCCTCTCACCTTCCCTCCTACCTCTCCCCTCTTCCCACCAATCACTCCCCCTAACCCCTTTCCCTCTCTACCATCACCTTTGCTCGCCCGCGCTCAGACCCTGTCCGCGCCACGGCCGCCAGCAGTTTCCAAATCTTCCTCTCCCTCTACATCCATGCACTTCCCTCACACTCACCTTTGCTCGCCCACGCTCCGAGCCTGTCCGAGCCACCGCCGTCAGCAGCTTCCCAATCTTCTTCTCCCTGATCGCCTTCCTGTGCCCCCCGCCATTGTTATCCCACAGAACCACCAGAATCGCCGTCGCTTCCTCCTTCCCCTTATCCGATCCTCGCTCCAACGCCCTTGCCAGTGCACCCACCCCTTCTGCCTGCACCACCGCCTCCCTCCCCTCCGGCCTCGTTACAAGCTGCCTCATTGTAGCGAGAGCCTTGTCTGCCAGCCGGTGGCCGGGTGCGCGAGTTATAATGTGGATTAGCGCGCGGTGGGTGCCGGAGAGAAGGAGGGTTGATTTGTTGGAGGTGAGGTGGGAGAGGTTGAGGAGAGTGAGAAGGGCGTCTTCTTTGGCTCGGTCTGAGTTGGCCGGACAAGCCGAGGGCTGCCGCTGGGGCTTTTCGTCCAGTAGGATGGAGACGAGGAGCGGGATCGCGCCGGCCGCGCCGATGTCCAGCCGGGCGGCGTCGCACGAGGAAAGGACGAAGAGAGCTGCGATTGCTGCGTCCCGGACGGCGGTCGGGGCGGCACGGAGGATGTGGACGAGGATTGGGGCGGCACCGAGATCGGTGACTATAGTGCAGTTGACTGGATCGAGAGTGAGGTTGACTAAAGCGAAAGTAGCAGTCTCTGCTATAGCCCAGTTGGTATGAGCGGAGTTGAAAGAAGGGGTGGCAGATAGAGGAGGAGCAGGAGCAGAAGAGTGAGAACGAGAGGGGGTGGTGGGAGCGTGGGGAATGTGCGGGTGGTGCAGTGCAGGGAAGCCGGGGTGAGCTGCTGAGAAGTGCCTTGGAGTAGCATTGGCAGCAACAGCCGCAGCAGCGGCGGCGGCGGCGGCAGACAAAGAGGGGGTTCGAGTGGGGGAAGGTGCTCGCATGGATCCTGCTCGCTCGGAAAAGGGAGTGGCTGGGATGCCATAGCCAGGAGCAGAGGAGGAGTAGCGGATGGGAGGGTGGGAGGGGGAAGGGGCCACCCAGGGGTGTGCTGTGAGGGGCAGGCCAGGCATGGCAGGCGAGGGGGGAGGGTACGGATAGCTTGTAGCAGCAGATGCAGAGTAGGGAAGACCGGCAGCAGACGCAGAGTAGGGAAGGCCAGCAGCAGAAGAAGAGTAGGGAAGACCAGCAGCAGACGCAGAGTAGGGAAGACCGGCAGCAGCAGCAGCGCCAGGGGGAAGAGGGAGCGGATCCCCCATGCCTACTCCTCCTCCCGGTCCCTCCTGCTTCTCCTGTTTCTCCTGGCTCTGCAGCAGTACCGCCTCCACGCCCACAGGCAGCCCAGCAGCAGCAGCAACGCAGTCCAGCAGCGGCCGCAGCACCCCTGCCTGCCTCAAGTGCTCCCGCGCGTCCTCGTCCCCCCGTGCCACCTCGCGGATTCGCCCCGCTGCGTGCAGCCGCGCAGGCTCGGAGCCCTGCAGCATCCGAACCAGCTCGGCAGGCTCGGCGGGGTGGAGGAAGATGGCAGGGAGGGGGTTCTTGGGGGGAGGGGGTGGGAGGGAGGAGGAACGGCTGAGCTTGTCTTTCTCTTTCTCCCTTTCCTTCTCCCTCTCCCTCTCCTTCTCCTTCTCCTTCTCCTTCTCCTTCTCCTTCTCCTTCTCCTTCTCCTTCTCCCTGCCCCTCTCCCTGTCTCTCCCTCTTCCACGCTCCGACACTCTTTCATCAAGTGCCGGTGGGATTGCATTCGTCTTCTGCTCCCCCTGCCTCTCTCTTGATTTCTCTCTTTCCTCCTTCTCCCGCTTTTCCTTTTCCTGCTTCTTCTCCTCTCCTTTCTTCTTGCTCTTCTCACTGACCTTCCTTTCCTGCGGCTGCGGCTGCTGCTGCTGCTGCTGCTGCTGCTGCTGCTGCTGCTGTTGCTGTTGCTGCTGGTTCTCAAGCCCCAGGTGTTTTGGCAGGTGGTCAGGTGTCAGGTGCTCTGGCTGCGGTATCATCTCCCCCTCATTCTGGTGCTGCTGCTCTAACCACTGCTGCACCTTCCGTTCAGACTCAAACGCCTGAGACTCCAACTCTCTCTCTCCTTCCCCTCCTTCTCCTTCCCCCTCCCTCTCTTCCCTCTCCTCCAATCCTTCATCTTCGCCCACTTCCATCACCATCACCACCTCTTTCACCTCTTTTGCCTTCGGAGTAATGGCTTCTGCGTATTTCTCCCTTGTCCCGGCTCCTGCACGCTCCTGCTGATGCCGCTTCTTAGGTGTTTCCTCAGGTGCTTTTTCAGGTGTTTTCTCCGACGCCCTTTCCGTCTGTTCCTTTCCACCCGTCTTTTCCTCATCCTGCTGCTGCCCCAGAAAAGGGTGTGTTTTGCTGTTGCCTCCCTCCCTTGCAACCTCCTTTTCACCCACCCTTCCCCCTTTTCCCGTTTCTCCTCCCCCTCCCTCTTTCTCACTCCATTCATACTCTTTAGCCCCAGCAAAGCACCCAGCCAACTCATTCAGACACCCACTCGCAGGAGCACCAGCGCAACTCTCGACCTTCCCTAACTGCTCCTTCTTCCGCCTTGCCGCAGCTGCGGCGGCGGCTCGGCGTGCAGGTCCGGACGGGGTGGTTGGGGAAGCAGGTCCGGGGGCAACAGCTGAGGTAGGCAGAGTGACAGGCTCGGGAGCAGGTTTGGAAGCAGGTTTGGTAGGAGGTGCGGATGGAACAGGGGTTGCAAGCTCCTCTGGTGCTGTTGCCCCTGGTTCTGTTGCCCCTGCTGCTCCAGCAGCAGCATCGACAGCAGCAACAACAGCAGGAGCGGCTGCAGCGGCAGCAGTAGGAGCAGGAGCAGGAGCAGGAGCAGGAGCAGGAGCAGGAGCAGGAGCAGCAGCAGGAGCAGGAGCAGGAGCAGCAGCAGGAGCAGGAGGCGGGGCGTTGGCAGCCTTGGCCTTGGCAGCAGCCGCAGCGGCTCTCCTGGCGGGGCCAGACAGATAGATCGCTTTGGCCGACCGTACAGAGGTAAGTGAGAAAGAGGCGGTGGAGGAGGAAGGGGTGGGCGGACCAGCAGAGTCATCTGCAGCAGAATCAGCAGCAGCGGAATCAGCGGCAGCGGTAGTGGCAGCAGGATTAGTTACTCCAAGTGCGGTGGCAGCAGTGGCAGCACCAGAAGCAGGGGCAGGAGTGGCCGTCGCAGTAGCAGTGGCAGGTGGTAGTTCCGCTGGTGCAGGTGCAACTGATGCAGGTGTATCTGATGAAGGTGGAGGGAGAACAGACGATGGGCTGCTACCATTGCTCGTGGCAGCCGCTTTCCCTCCCTCTCCGTCGCTGCTGGCTGCCTCAGGTGCCTGTTCAGGTGAAATCTCAGGTACTTCAGCAACAGACGGGAGGGCTCCTTGGCTGAAGCTAGAGATGATCCCCAGGCCTGGCTCCGAACCAGCCACAGCAGGTTCGGCAGGAAGAGAGGGAGCAGGTTCGGCGAAAGGGATACCCAGGCACTCCTCTCGCATAATCTTGACCACAGATAAGGCAGCTCCTATCAAAGCAGGGTTCTTGAAACGAACTATCGCTGCAGGTGCTATCGGAGCATACTCAAACGAGGATCCCACGGAGACGGGCATGGAAGCGACCGAGCCTGAGTCCGTTGCCGTACCTGCCGCCGAGCCAGAATCCGTGGCTGTTCCAGCTTCGGAGTCAGTCCCCGTACCTCTTCCGAGCCCGTCATTGTCACTGTTGCCATTAGCACAGTGGTAACCAGACGTTCCCTCGCTACTAACGCTGCCGTTCATGCTCCCGTTGTAAGGAAAGCTCTTCCGTCTCGCCACTCGCCCCCTCGCTGTTCTGTTGCTCTGCCTCCTGCTGCTGCTGCGCCTTCTGCTGCCGCTGCCACCGTCGTTCTCACACTCCTCCTTAATCTCCTCTAAAGCCACAATTTCTTCGTTAAAGTCCTCCTCCGTTATAAGATCAAGCTGCCCTGCCAGCATCAGAAGGCTGCGGCGCTTATCGGGGGCAACAGAAATGCTGCTGCTTGTAGCGCAGGAGCACCTGCCGCTACTCCCCCTGCTGCTGCTGCCACTGCCGCCACTGCCGAAGCTGCTTCCCTTGCTGGAACTGCTACTGCCGCTGCTGCTCATGCTGTTGCTGTTCGCAGCACCGCAGGTGCAGGCATGGGGGGGCGGAACGACCGAGGCGATGGTGTCGCGGCAGCGGACGGCGGAGGGCTCTACGGGGTACTGCGCGCGCGAGAGCTTCGAGAGGATGTGCGGCACCTGCGGAGTGCGGGAGATGGGGGGAAGGGGGAGGGGCGGAGGTGGAGACGCGGAGAGGTGAGGAGGGGGAAAGGGGTGCATGGATGGGACGAGCAGAGTGAGGCGGTGGCGTCAGGGCAAAGCATGGCCAGAGGGCTTGGCTACTGCGGGCATTGCACAGGGCTCGTCGCGCTACTGCGGGCATTGCACAGGGGTCGTCGCGCTACTTCGCGTTGGTAAACACGAACTCAGCGTGAAACCCTTGATTCGCCCGCACCTGGAACTGCCACCCCGAAGCTTGCCCGTGCGACAGCCCGTGCCAGTGCGGCTGCTGCACGGGCGACGGCTCGACGACGGAGTGTGCGTCGCGCAGAGCGTCGCCCAGTCGCATGGTCAGGTCCTGAAACTTCTGCGCTGCCCATTCCGAGCTGATCGCCTGAGTGGAGACGGGAGGGGAAGTAGACAGAGACAAAAAAAAAGGTGACACCCGGTTTTCCCTCGAAACGCACATTAAGCGGACTGGAAACGAAAATAAAGAGTTCTGAGAACCGTCTCGAAAAATGAGAGGCGAGGGACGCGGAAAGAAGACGGGGAGAAGAGAACACGTGGCATGCAGCTGCCCGCGTTCCCGAAAAACTCACGATGTACGCCTTGCTGCGCGCCAATGAGCACCAGTAGAGCAACCCGGAAGCTTCCTCCAGCACGGCCCTCAAATCGTCCAATGCCGACTGAAGCAAGATGTTTCCGCGAAGCTGCTGCCGCTGCGCGCTCCACGCGTCTACCAGCGGCTCGACGTCCTCCAATAGGGAAAGCAGCAGCGCGCAGTGGCTTCTAAGAGCCGAGGCGCATTCCGGTGGCGGCGCGTTGTCTTCGTCGAGGATGGATGTTAGGAGGAAGGCGAGGCGGTCTGTCAGTCCGTAGAAATCCATTCGGGCAGTCATCGTCGGTTAATCGACGGACCGCTTCGGCCGTAATTGTTTGGAACGGGCGAACGGCGTCTAAGCTGACGGAACCGATTCGCGTAATCTTGGTTACAAACGAAGGGTTGGGGTAGCGATGCTGACGGCTACTATGCTAAGCTAACGACTGAATGCATGCAGGAGCAGAGTTAACTAAACGCCATTGTCTGACTAACCAATGTTTCTTTCCCCTGGTCTCACACCGTTGCAAGCACTAATCGTCTCGCCAAGTCGTGCGGAACTGCTTTCATTCCCATTGCTCAGTACGTAACGAAATCAGTGCGACACTAAAGAAGAGAGAAAGAGAGTGGAACAATGCTTTGGTGTGGTTCTCGAGAAATAAAATAACGTTTCAGTGCGGTGGGGAACGATACAATAATTTTAGAGGGGCACCCTGGTTTCCGCCGCATCGACTTGCTCCCAACACATTTTGCATATTACCGAGTCGCTCGCTCAGAACCACAGCCCCGGCCGGGGCGCATATCGCCGTACCCGAACCGGCCGCTGCGTTTGACAAAACAGGAAAGAGGGGGCTCTACGTTCGGACAAGCTTGGGATCCTCTTTCGTGAGGGATGTGGTGGTTTGGGGAGATTACGAACCTGAAACAAACGCTGCCGAAGGGCTTGTAACGTGGCTTGGGGCTGCAAACAGTTGCGCCGAACTAAAAGCCTGAGCTGGACAGGAACGTCCAAGCGAGTGCGATAGCTCAGGTGTCGCGAGTCTCAAAGACACAGAAGGGCTTGCGACCACGTCCAAGTCTCGACATAACGCCATTTTGCTGTGGCACAAGGATAACCCAGATAGGGAGACTCGTTAACAATACTAGCTGTTACAATACTAGCTTAGACGATGCGCGACCTCAAGCTCTATACAATGGTGTACTTTTAGTGTTCATTACGGGAACCTAAACACCACTTTTTGGAGTTCCAGGCTATCGTCCAAGCTTCACCTATCATCATGCAAGTTAATGTCATGCAACAATAACCAAGGTTACAAGCTACTCCATGGTTTCCATCGCAACTCATTGCTGGCTCAGGCATCACATCGCATCAACAACTATGTTTACAGTTCCCAAAGGTCATCTAAACTCAAGGCGAACGTTTCCCGAAGCAATGTGCTTATCCCCAGAGACGCACTTGTCTTCTCGGGTCTGGACCTGCAGCGTTTTGCTTTCAAGCACAAGAGATATAAATCGTCAGATTTTTCAGTGCTCAGATCAGCTTGCTTTCTAGCCATTTCCGGGCTGCCAAGCTATCCTCATCATTGCACAATGGGAAAGGGACGCAACAACAAGTCGAGCAAGAAGACAGGGAATGGCGATCAAAGAAAGGAGACGTACCTGTGCCGGACGCTGCTGGACATGGCCGGTCTACCACTCCAGGGACCCCTGCTGTGATCGATCCCTTCGAGGACCTGCTCGACCTGCGGAACAATGAAGACAATGCTGACGACTCTGGTGACGGCGACGCTAATAGTGAAGAAGGATCCGGAGCCAAGGACCAGAAGTCAGAAGGGGAAGCTGCTGCTGCTGGAGACAACAAGAACGATGACGAGGAGGATTTGTCAGACCCGGTCCCTGACGATGAGGATGATGGGTATTTGAGCGACGACTCGGACGAACATCTCGAACCTGCTTCGCTTACCAGTGCTTTGGCTTTAAAACGCTTCTCACTAACCTTGCTGGTGCCGATCTTCAGGGAAGCGGAAGTCAAACGTGCTGCGGTAACGATCGCAGCATTGTTGGACGACTGGAAGGATCAGTTGTCCCCTGATGTGCTGCAGACGACGACCTACCAGGATCTCACGGCAACATACTTCTCCGGCAACCGCTACGGCCGGCTGCAGGTCACCTTCAACCATGTTAGAGATGCGAACAACGTCTGGAACCAAGTCATCAAGCACGAATGTGTGAACGGAGACATCATCGATCTCACCTGGCAGTTCCCGGAAGATGCACGCTTTCTCCGCGCGTGTGTTATGAACCCTTTGGCGCAGGAGGTTGTCGTCAAGGGAGTGCCAGCCGAGATCACTGCTGAGCTTGTCCGTCATCTGCTGGTGGTGTCAAAGCTGGTTAAGCGTGGCGGGAGTGCTTTCGCCTATGGTTTTGGCTTTCACGGTACGCTGGACCCGGTCACCGGGCTTGACACTGACCGTATTCGTGGCCTGGTTGTCCCCCATGATGATGATGAGTACCGCTGGAGATACTTCGTGGAGGACCCGACGACGAAGAAGCGCTACCTGCTCCATTACCCGTCACTCACCTGCGAGCTTTGCAGTGGTCCGCATCTGTCCCGCTACCATGATCGCTATATCACTGCAAGGCATGAGAACTTCACCAACTGGAACCTGACGGTCAAAAAGGTTCATGAGATGAACGGTATACGTCGAGCTGCTCCGCACTCTCCTCCTCTGAGCTCTTTGCCGCTAGATTCTTTACTCTTAACAAGTACTGACGGCCTTTCCTTCAACTCTCCCCGCAGCCGCATCTCTGAAAGCTTCCACTCTTGTGAAGCGCATCCTGAAGGACCCCGCAGTTATACTCACCTCCACAGGAGGAATGCGGGAGGAGTGGGTGTATGTGCAAACCATATGCGAGAAGGCGCAGGGTAACCGTTTCGAACAAGCAGCGGCTCATGTTGCATCTGCCAGGCACAAGGGAGGACTACGTACGGAAGGCGCGGCAACTCGTGCCAGCAAGCACTCTCAGAAGATGGCTGCCTTCAAAAAGGATTTCATTGTCAAACCGGCGGTGAAGTAAGCAGCGGTCCGGATGATGACAGCGCTGGGAAAGGAATGGAGGAAGCTGCAAGGTGGATCTTGGGAGCAGGCTGTGTAGTTGGTGCCATGTTCTCTTTCGTTGTAGCTGGCTGTATCGTCGCAATAAAGCTCAATCGCCCGTGGATGCTGTGGGTCTCAAAGGAGTGTTTTAATGAATAAGCATAACAACCTCACAATTCTCGAGCTCAACATCAACAGGCTCGGTAGCAGCGGAAAACAAGAACGATGCGGTAAATGGATCAGGAAAGCAGCGGACATTGTGGTACTCATCGACACACGTGTCTCAGCCGATCACAATTTCTGGACACAAGTTAGATCTGAGGCTCAGGCGGTGATCGGTCCGGCGCAGAGAGCAGGAGGTGTGGCGGTCTTGGGCTTCCTGCCAGGGATGAGATTCACAGAGGTTATCACACATGCGTCTGGCCGGCTCCTGAGCCCGATGGTATCTTGGCGGGATTTGAAGTGCAGAATCGTGGTTGTTTACTTACCGGCACAAGCAGCGGCTAGGGGGGTTTTCTTTCGGGACACGCTATCTCCCTTCGTGCAGAGTCTGGATGCCTCTCCACACACCTTTCTCATCGGCGACTTGAATATAGTAGCAGACCCGGAGCTGGATAAATCCTCAAAACTTGGAACCCCGGCGGAGAACCAGAAGCTTTTGCAGATATGTTCGAGATGGGATCTGCAGGACACCTTCCGAAGTCTTCACCCGACGCGCAAGGAATATACCTTTTTCTCCAGATCTGCAAGGACGAGCACAAGGATTGACAGAGCGTTAGTTTCACACTCCCTGCTCGGATGGGTTGCAGAGGCGAATCATAGAATGGTACCATACGGCCTGACTGATCATTGGTTTGCGGTGAGGGTGGTGCTTAAGGCAACGGCAGCAGATGACCACGGCCCAGGTCTATGGAGACTCCAAGTGGCTCGACCCGGGGGAGAAGGGGTCAGGAACACCATCTCGGCGGTGGTAACGGCACATGAGAATGGTCCGGACCAAGGCCTGGAGAGGCTTGTGTCGAACCTGCGAACATGTATGCGGGCTCATGTAGCAGAGGAAAGGAAGAGGGTGAAGGCGACCATGGCACATCTGGAACAGAAAGTGGAAGACTTGCGGTGGAAAGTGATGGCGGATGCCACCTCGCAAGTTCTGTATGAGGAGCTGATTAAAAACGAAGCGGCCCTTAAGCTTTACCAGGATAGCAACAAGGAGCGACTGCAGGTCATGACGGGGTTACTGATGGAGCTGGCGAGCGAGACGCTGTCAGGGTTCTTATCGGGCCTGGTCAAGTCGAGAAAGGCAAAAACAGAAATAGCAGAGTTAGGGTGCAGAGGAAGGGGGCAAGGGAGGTGTTACAGGCGGCCTCTGAGCACTTCAGGGAAGCGTACGCTGAGTCACAGTCAAACCATAGTGGGGGGCCGTGGCCGATAGATGTGAGTAAGAAGCTGCAGGAGAAGGACCAACTACAGCTGGACATGGAGTGGTCGGAGCACGAGGAGAAGGCAGCGCTCAAAGGCTTACCAGCGGGGCCGGGGCAGGATGGTTTACCAAAAGAATTCTTTGAGCATAACTGGGAGCTGCTCGGCTGGGCGGTGATGAGGGAGGTTAGGAGCTTTGAGTCGTCAGGGAAGCTCTCGGAAGCTTTCACGACCGCCGTTACCATTCTGCTGCATAAAAAGGGGGACAGAGATGACTTATGCAATTACAGGCCGATCACCCTACTGAGTTTTTTCTACAAGCTACTGGCGAAAGTGTTGGCGAACAGAATCAAAGCTGTCTTACCGCGGGTGATCTCGGACAAGCAGTTCGGCTTTCTCCCGGGAAGGAGTCTTGCCGATGCAGTCTCGCTGGTGGCAGATGTAATTGATGCGGCGGAGGAGGAGGACGAGGATTGGTTGCTGTTGCTGGTGGATTTTCAGAAAGCCTACGACTTCGTGTCAAGGGACTATCTTTTCGCGACGCTGGGCAACATGGGGTTTCCGGAGAAATTTGTGAGATGGGTGAAGGGCCTGCATGATGGCGCAGCCACCAGGATGTTGCTAAATGGCTGGGTAGGAGACCGCGTGGCAATGGATAAGGGGGTGCGACAAGGGTGTCCGCTCGCCCCGTACCTCTTCCTCTGCGCGGTGGAGCCGCTCTGCCAAGAAATAGGATGGAGAAAGCTGGGCGTTCGGAAGCGGGGAGTGAAGG